CGGGGGCGGCGGGGCAGGGGCTGCGCGGGGGCTGCGCGGGGACGCGGGACAGGGGATACAGGACACGGGACAGGGGACACGGGACAGGGACGGGACAGGGGACAAGGGACAGGGACACGGGGCACGGGATAGGGGACACGGGACAGGGGATACAGGACAGGGGACATGGGACAGGGGACAAGGGACAGGGGATACGGGACAGGGGACACGGGACAGGGGATACGGGACACGGGATAGGGGACAAGGATCAGAGAGAGGACAGGGACAGGGGACAAGGGACACAGGACAGGGACACGGAACGGGACACGGGACAGGGGACAGGGACACAGGATACGGGGCTGGGCTGGGGACATCGCACAGGGGACAGGGATGGGGTGAGTGGTGGCACAAGGGGACGGTGGGGTGGTGACACAGGGGCTGGGATGGGGACATCGATGGGGGGGGGGGTCTCACGGGAGTTTGGAACGGGCAGCATCGATGATAGGACCCCTCATGTCCATGGGGGACACGAAGAGAGGAAGGGGAGGTCACACACGGGGGGACAGCGGGCACTGCAGGGACAAGGGGACACCAATCGCTGTCCCCTGTGCGGGCAGGGGTCCCCCCGCCCCTCCCCACAGCAGAACTGGGGGGTCAGATCCGGGCTGGCCCCGCTGTCCCTGCCGGCTGTCGCACTCGGGTGACCCCGCACGCAGGATTTTGGCACCAGCCCTTCCCTTTCAGAGATTAAATCTTCCCCTCCGGGCTATGCTCTGCCAAGTGGAAAAATCCCAAAACAAGGAGCACAAAAACGCCTCCGCCCTACGGGAGGCAGCGGAGAGAACAGACCGGGCTGAGGGACGAGGAGTGACAGGCACACAGCTCAGACCGGCACCGCTGGGAATCACATTCCATCAGCCCCATCCCACCTGGATGTGCCCCCCGAGGGGCAGGACACGCGTGGAGGGACAGAACCGCAGCGGGTGGGGAATGGAGAGTGGACATCGGGGGTGAGGGATCGGTCTGGAAATAGCAGCGATTCCATAAAACCTTGGATCCTTTAGGTTGGAAAACCCCCAAACCCCATCCAGTGCAGCGCTGCCAAAGCCACCCCTACCCCATGTCCCTCCCCACGGCTTTTAAACCCTTCCAGGCTCGGTTTGGGGATCACTCCCAAAGTGAGGAGGGAAGGACATTCACCGCCCGTGGCCGTGGCTGTGTTTACAGCCCCTTTTGGGGAGCTTTATTCCCGATTTTCTCGCTGCCAGGACCTGTCTGGGCACAGCCAGGGCCCGCAGCCTCCAGAGGGAAATGTGGCATCGTGGGCAGGAGCTGCTGCTTGTCCCGGCACGCAGGGAAAACCAAACTCTGCCCAAAGTTTCCTTTTCCCGGCTGATCCGTGTCCGTGCTCGCAGGGAAGGAGCAGGGGCTGTTCCTGGCACGGCTCACAGGAAGGACAAACTGACTTTTAAAGTCCGGGAGCAACCTTCTCATATCTCGGGTGTCCTTTTACCCCGGCCAAAAATCACACTCAAACCTTCTCTGACATTGGCATCACCTTCCTTGTTCCTGCCCCGAGCCCTGGAGCTTGGATTTGGGAATATTTACTCCTCCGGGAACCCGATCCTGCCTGGAGCGCGGTGCCAGCGGGACTGACGCGAGCAGAGGTTCCCGGTCCCTCTGGAGTGTCCCTGTCCCCTGGGAAGCCTCACGGGTGGCCAGGGAAGTGTCCCCCCACTCCCACGGATTTTGGGATGGAATATCTGGATGTCACCTCGGTGCCAGCGGGGCGAGAAGGGGACGAGCCTGTGCCTGTGCCATGTGTGTATCCCCTGTGTGTCCCCAGTGTGTCCCAATGTGTCCCAGTGTGTCCCCAGTGTCCCTCATGTCCCCAGTGTGTCCCCAGTGTGTCCCTGTGTGTCCCCCGTGTCCCCAGTGTGTCCCCAGTGTGTCCCCAGTGTCCCCCGTGCCGGGCACAGCTCTGGGGTGACACAAGAGCTTGTCCCTTGGCAGCAGAGCCGGCTCTGTGCCGATCTCTCAGGCCGGGGCAGGGCAGGGACCCACCCGGTGCCAGCCTCGGGAGGGACTCTGCAGGACACCAAAGTGCTGGAGAGGCGTTTCCACCTCTGCCTGTAGGATCACAGAATCCTGGAATGGTTTGGGCTGGAAGGGAGCACAAATCTCACCTTGTTCCACCTCCCACCATCCCAGGCTGCTCCAAACCCTGTCCAGCCTGGCCTCGGACACTTCAGGGGTCTGGGGGCAGCCACAGGAACCTGTTCCAGGGCCTGCCCACCCTCCGGGGAGGAATTTCTCCCTAAAACCAACCCTGCCCTCGGTTTCCAGCAGGCTCTAGGGAATATCTGAAAAAAACACGGGGAGCCTCGTGGTTTCCAACACGATGGGGTTGGAAAGTCGGGGCAGTGCAGCTGCCTCAGAAGAAGGCGACATTCCCGAGCATGGGAAAGAGAAATCCATGGGGAAGAGCCCTGGCTCTGCTCCCCCGCTGCCCGGGAGGAGGAGCGGACACGGCAGCCAAAGGACATCGGGAGCCTGCAGGGGAATGCGGGGAGCGGCAGCTCCGGGGGGCTCTCACACCTGTCCTGGGAAAGCTCCGCCTTCCAGCGCCCTGTGCCAGCTCCAGATGTGCCGCCCTGGCTCCAGATGTGCCGCCCTGGCTCCAGATGTGCCGGGTGCCAGCCCAGCCCCGGATGAGATGAGCTGGCTCCAGGCGCAGCCCCAGCCGTGTGCCCCGGGCATTAAACACTGCCAGGACATCCCAAAGGTGAAATTCCCACGGAAACCCCCCCAGTCCTGCTCGGGGTGTGTGAACCCACACAAACCCAGCCGTTCCTACACCCCTACAGGCACACTGTACACTGGAACCACTTCCCCCAGTGGTGCCGGCCGGCTCCTGCTCTCACTTCCACAAAAATTCCCCGTCAAAACCCGGAGCAGCCCGGGTTTGCTGGCAGAGGGAGGCTCAGCTTTCCCCGGGGTGCAGGGAGGTAAATTCTGGTCCCCGACATTTCCTCCTGCGAGGCAGAGGCGGGAGCAGTGCGGGGTTTCCTGTGGTTGCAGTGTCTAATGAGGTTAACACTGTTTTTGAGGTTTAACTCTTCAAGCGACACGAAAAAGGAAGCCCCGGGCTCTGCAGAGCCGGCCTTTGGGAGCAGCAGAAGGGGGCTGGAGCATCCCTGGAGCATCCCTGGGTCTCCCAACCTCGGGAATGCTGTAACATCCTTGGATGAGCTCAGAGGGGTGACACTCAAACACCCCCATTCCTCCAGGACTTTTCATTCCTCTGGGATCGCCAGGAAAACGTTCTCACCCTGCCAGCTCCCGGGATTGTAACAATCCCCTGGGGATGGGCTCGGCTCTCCCGGAGTGTCTCCAGGTCCTGCCAGGATTTTGAGACGTCCCGCGGCTGCTGCTGGAAGGGATCTGGGTTTTCCCATGGACTGACTCACACCGGGAGGGAAACTCTGCTGCTCTGTGCGGGTCAGCCAGTGCTGCTGCAGCTCGGGTGCCACAGGTCCTGAGGATTGCCAAGGTAAGGATTCCCTGCTTCCCCCAGCTCCCAGCTCCTGCTGGAACCGCAGAATATCCCAGCTCCTGCTCCTCACCCGCTGCTCCTGCATTTATCTGCTCCTGGTGCAGCCACGGTGAAGATTCCGTGTGATTCGGGGGAGCAGCTTCTCCCCTCTTTATTGAATTCCCATTTCTTTAATGCACGAGGAGGCTTTACCAGAGATGAGATCAAAGCCCAGCATCTCCAAATTGCCTCGTTCCTTCTGCTTGGGGCTTGGCAAACTCCTCTAAATTGGAATAAAAGCAAGAATGTGATTCCCAGAGGAGGCAGAGCCTGCGATCCCTCGGAGAGCTGGGCAGATTTAGAGTTTCCAGCTCTTCTCAGAGGACCCCAATTGCATTTTTTCATTTGCTCTGACTTGCAGAAGGTTCCAGGGCACTTGGGAACCGACAGCTTCTCTTTGTAGGTCAGGTAATAGGGAGGCACTTGAAATTTGACTCACTCATGATGATCAGCCCTAAAACCAAACCAGGTCACCTCACCCTGCACGAGAAATACCCAAGCACTCGCTGCTGCTGGGTTGAAAAAGAGCATTTTGAAGCTTTTACTGTGGACTCTGAGCTCCCTGAGAGGAAACTCGCCATTCCTGACAGCAGGTATTGCATGGAGAAGGGGAATGATGGAGAGTGGGGCTTGCCTGGGTGCTCAGCCCTGGGCAGGTGAATGGAGGGGTTCAGGGCTCCTTCCCTGTGCCCACCCCCCACCCCCAGAGGGGTCTGTGGGGGTCTTGGGGCCACCCCATCTCCGGGGGGCTGGGGGTGCCTCGCTGGATGCTTCCAGGAGAATCCTTTGCTCGGAAAAGAGCGATTTCCCCCCAGGAGCTGCATTTCCCCTCCCCAGTCTGAGCCCTTCCAGCCCCACCTTCCGAGTCCCACGGGGCTGGGCTTTCTTCCCTGGACTGTGGGAATTCTTCCAAAGGGGCTGTGGAGAGAGGTGAAGGGAGAGGGGGGGAATTTAAGCAGCTGTGGATGCGGGCACAAGGGTGACTCCTCGGGGACAGGGGGGATTTTGGGGCTGTCTCAAGGACTTCACTGCTGGGAAGAGCCGCGGCTCAGCCTGGGCAGGACCTGTGGGAAAGATATTAGGGGAAAAGGGAGTTTCTATCCCATAAACCACACCTGAGCATCCCCAGGGATGGAGACTGCAGGACAACAGCCCCACTCTGGCTACCTTTAAAGAGCTTTTTCTTATGTTTAGCTGGAATTTCCTGATTTCCTGATTTCCTGTCCTGGGCCATGCCGGGAGGAGTTTGGCTCCCTCACCTTTACTCCCCCACCAGATATCCATTCCCGAGGATCTGCCCTCCTCGAGCCCCCTCCTCTCCAGGCTGAGCTGCTCCCCCAACCTTTCCACACTTCCCAGATGTTCCTGACCCTCAGGTGGGCTCATTCCAGATCTCTCCCATCCCTGGAGCCGCCCCTCGGGATGGCTCCGAGCTCCATCCTCTCCAGAGCAGGGCTGCTCACCTTTCCCTGCCACAAACCCGCCCTGCCCGTGCTGGAGCTGCTTTTCCAGGGGGATTTGCTCCATCCTTTTCCATCCCTCAGGCTATGCCGAGCGTGGGCCATGGCGGGGTCCGGCGAGGCTTTGGTGCTGCCCGTCCTGCTCTGCTGCCTGTGCCGAGGTGAGTGACCACACCAGGGCCACCACGCTGAGCCCTGAGCTCCTGCAGGACATTCGGGGTGGGAACGGGGCAAAGACAGAGCTTGGAGGGGGAATGCCATGGCCTGCAGCTCCTTCTCCTTGGAGCGGGGATGTTTCCAGGCTCCTGCAGCTCCTGTGCCGAGCTCTGGGCTCTGCCCTTTCCAGGAAGGGCAGATGGAGCCCGATAGCGCCCGAGAGCCGGGGCTGCTGCGGAGCCTCATCTGATAGGGAAGGGCAGCGCCTCCGCCGCCCTAATCTTGGGGATCAGAGCTCTCGAGAGCGCAGGTTATTTCCCTGCTCTCATTTAAACGTTACAGCAAAACCTAAAATGGGTGAAACTGGAGGAACTGGCTGTTTCTGATCTGCTGGGATGAGTCACAGGGGCCGGGGCGCTGCTGCAGGCGGGGGGCTCATCCCAGGGGGGACCTCAGAGCTCGCCCAGCCCTGGACAGGGACAACTTCCACTGTCCCGAGCTGCTCCAAATCCTACCCAACCTGGCTCTGGGAACTTCCAGAGACCCGGGGGCAGCCACAGCTCCTCTGTGCCAGGGTCTCCCCGCCCTCAGGGGGAACAATTTCTCCCCAGCATCACTCGTGATCCCTGACCGGGGCAGGGTGCAATCCCCCGGCTGCAGGATCCAGCCGTACTGCTGCTGCTGCTGCTGCATCCCGGGGAGCAAAGCAGCTCCCTGGGGATCCCTGCAGCTTCCTGGGGATCCCTGCAGCCCCTGCTGCAGTGGGACACCCCCGGAGCCCCCCTCGCTTTGGCACAGGTGCCGCAAACATCGAGTGCAAGGGGCGCGTCTGGATCGAGCCCGCGCCGGTGGTGCGGATGGGCTCCAACATCTCCATCGGCTGCCAGTCCTCCCTGAGCTGCCCTTCGGTCCAGCTCGACATCCTCCTCAACTACAGCCACGCTGAGGGCAGCCCGCTGCCCGGCGGCACCGTGAGGCTCCGGCTGCGCGATTTCAGGATGCCTTTGGCCACCGTGACCTGCCTCTCCCGCTGTGGGGACAGCCAGTGGCGCGGGGTGGTGTGCGGAACGGAGCTGCGGGCGGGCTGTGAGTACCCCCGAGCCCCCGAGCCCCCGGAGAACCGGCTCCGGCTCCTCCCGGTGCGGCCGCGCCCTCACCAGCCTCGCCCCGCAGACCCCCCGGACCCCCCCGGCAACCTGAGCTGCGCCACACCCGAGGGCTCGGGGAGCCTGGAGTGCAGCTGGGACCAGGGACAGGACACGCTCCTGCCCACCCGCCACAGCCTCCACCTGCGCAGGTGAGAGCCCGGGGCAGCGCGGAGGGGAGGGGGCGCGGGGGGTCACAGCTCTGGGCCACAGCCCTGGGTGACAGCTCTGGGCCACAGCCCTGGGTGACAGCTCTGGGTCACAGACCTGGTGACATTTCTGGGTTACAGCCCGGGGTGACAGCTCTGGGTCACAGACCTGGTGACATCTCTGGGTTACAGCCCGGGGTGACAGCCCCTGGTTACAGCCCTGGGTCACAGCTCTGGGTCACAGCCCCTGGTGACATTTCTGGGTCTCAGCCCCTGGTGACAGTCCCTGGTGACTGCAGAGCTGCCGTGCCCCAGTTCCACTTCCTACCGCTCACGTTTTGTCACCTCCTGCCCGAGAACCACATGTTCCACCGCAGGAGCTCGGGCGGTCACCCCGCTCACATTCCAGCAGCTCCCAGCGGCTTGGGAGCTCTCTAAATAAAAAGAGAGATAAAGAGAGGATGAGCCCAACGCTGCCCAAACCCCAAAACCAAAATTCCAGCGTGAAGCTGAAGCAGAGGAGCTGGCTTTATGCCACAGCCCCGGCCTGGGACACTCCCTGCCACCCAGTCCCCACCACACCAGCCTGGCAGGCTCTCAGCTACCCTGGCTCCATTTAAAGACCTTCATCCCATCATTTGGAAGCTCAGGGACAAAGCTCCTGCCTAAATTTGCTTGGGATCCAACCATGCAGGGTTCCCTTCCCACTGTGAAAATCCAAACAGCAGTGCAGGGAAGGGAAGGGGTTTGGTTTAGGGGTGACAAACTCCGGGTTTGGGGATGGCCATGGCCTGGTGACACCTCAGGACCAGGGTGGCGGTGCCAGCGGGTGTGTGGAGCTGGGATGGGCACTGACAGGGCTGCATCTGCTTCCAGGGTGGTGGCAGAGGATGAGGAGGATGAGGAAGAAAAGATCTTCCCTGCAGACTCACCTGTGCCGCTGAGAGAGCTGAACAATGAGAGCCTCTACTCGGTGTGGGTGCAGGCCAGCAACGCACTGGGCACTGCCCGCTCGAGCCCCCGGCACCTCAGCCTGCAGGAGATCGGTATGGCCATCATCCATCCATCATCCATCATCCATCCATCCATCCTCCATCCATCCATCCATCATCCATCCTCCATCCATCCATCCATCATCCATCCTCCATCCATCCATCCATCATCCATCCTCCATCCATCCATCCATCATCCATCCTCCATCCATCCATCCATCATCCATCCTCCATCCATCCATCCATCATCCATCCTCCATCCATCCATCCATCATCCATCCTCCATCCATCCATCCATCATCCATCCTCCATCCATCCATCCATCATCCATCCTCCATCCATCCATCCATCATCCATCCTCCATCCATCCATCCATCATCCATCCTCCATCCATCCATCCATCATCCATCCTCCATCCATCCATCCATCATCCATCCTCCATCCATCCATCCATCATCCATCCTCCATCCATCCATCCATCATCCATCCTCCATCCATCCATCCATCATCCATCCTCCATCCATCCATCCATCATCCATCCTCCATCCATCCATCCATCATCCATCCTCCATCCATCCATCCATCATCCATCCTCCATCCATCCATCCATCATCCATCCTCCATCCATCCATCCATCATCCATCCTCCATCCATCCATCCATCATCCATCCTCCATCCATCCATCCATCATCCATCCTCCATCCATCCATCCATCATCCATCCTCCATCCATCCATCCATCATCCATCCTCCATCCATCCATCCATCATCCATCCTCCATCCATCCATCCATCATCCATCCTCCATCCATCCATCCATCATCCATCCTCCATCCATCCATCCATCATCCATCCTCCATCCATCCATCCATCATCCATCCTCCATCCATCCATCCATCATCCATCCTCCATCCATCCATCCATCATCCATCCTCCATCCATCCATCCATCATCCATCCTCCATCCATCCATCCATCATCCATCCTCCATCCATCCATCCATCATCCATCCTCCATCCATCCATCCATCATCCATCCTCCATCCATCCATCCATCATCCATCCTCCATCCATCCATCCATCATCCATCCTCCATCCATCCATCCATCATCCATCCTCCATCCATCCATCCATCATCCATCCTCCATCCATCCATCCATCATCCATCCTCCATCCATCCATCCATCATCCATCCTCCATCCATCCATCCATCATCCATCCTCCATCCATCCATCCATCATCCATCCTCCATCCATCCATCCATCATCCATCCTCCATCCATCCATCCATCATCCATCCATCCATCCATCCATCCATCATCCATCCACGATCACCACAGTGTGCTGTGGCTGTGCATGGCCGCCCACACTGCCCAGCCCTGCAGTGTCACTCTGGGACTTTGGGGACCCCCGATCACCAGGACAGTCCCCATCCCACCCCTTCCCGTGTGTCCCCGCAGTGGTTCCTGCTCTGCCCGTGATCATCGGTGCCGACACCTCGGAGACGTCCCCTGCCATCACCAGCACGCGCTGGAGGAGCCGGACGCGGCTGCAGAACGTGCAGTGCCAGGAGAGGCACCGAGCCACGGGCACCCCAGCGTGGCATGTGAGAACCCCACACGTTCCAGAGATGTGTGTCCCGTTCCTGCTGGAGACCCCCTGGGCAATGGGAACATTCTGGGGTCGTTCCAAGGTGCCCCCTATGCCGGGGGGTGGTGGGGAATGGGCACCTGAGGGATCCAGGCAGATCCTGCTTTGGGGACCAGGAGAGCAGATGGCCTCGTGGGCAGGGTTATCCCGGCTTTTTAAACCAAAAGACAGAATTCCAAAGGTTCCCCAACGTTCTGCTCTGCAAGGACAAGGCACAAAATCCTCTGGGACGCTCAACTCCAGCGGGGCAGCTCCAAGCGGAGCCCTCTGGGAACATCCCCGAGTTCCAGCAGGGCGGAGCCCGGATCCCAGGAGCCCCAAAATCCCGGCGGGGGAGGAATGGCGGTGGGGGCTCTGGCACACGAGGGGGGCGGTGGGGACCCGCTCCCCCAGCTCCCCCCTTCCCCCGCAGGTGGAGCTGTGTGACACGGTGACACCGGAGGGACCCCGCTGGCATCACGAGCTGCAGAGCGACACCGAGTTCGTGTTCCAGGTCCGGTGCCGGCTCAGCACCGCCCACCGCCCCTGGAGCGCCTGGAGCCCCCCCTTCTTCTACAGAACCCCCGAGACAGGTGGGCTCAGCCCCGGTGTCTCCCCGACTGTCCCGGTGTCTCCCCGACTGTCCCGGTGTCCCCCCGGGGCTGTCCCGGTGTCCCCTGGGGGTGTCCCGGTGTCCCCCCGGGGCTGTCCCGGTGTCCCCCGGTGGTGTCCCGGTGTCCCCCCGCCTGTCACGGTGTCCGCTCCTCCGCAGTCCCCGCCGCTCCCGCTGTGTGGCGGCGCCTGGGTCCGGCCCTGCCGAACGGCAGCCACGAGGTGACGGTCTTGATCAAGGTAAGGCGCTTTTGGGGCAGCCTCTGCCAATTTTCGGCTCTGCCGCTCCTCCCCGAGCAGCCGGACGGCAGCAAAACCTCTCCATCCCCTTCAGGCTGAGCCCAGCCGAGGGCTCGGTGTCCCGGTGGTGGCTCGGTGTCACACACGCGTGTCCGTGTCCCGCAGCCTGCCCGAGATGCCCGGGGGAGGATCCTGAGCTTCGCCGTGTCCGCGCAGAGCCCCGAGGGGCCGCGGCTGCTGTGCCTCACCTCCGGCTCCGAGTGCTCGGTCCTGGTGCCGCCGGGAGCCCGCAGCCTCCTTGTCACCGCCCGCAATTCCAAAGGGAGCTCCAGCCCTGCCAGCATCCCCCTGGAGCGGGGTGAGGCTCGGGAAGGTAGGATGGCAGCTCCCGGGGAAGCGGGGAAATGCTGCCGGCAGAGCTCCCACCGAGGGAGCACAAAATCCTCCAGACAAATCCAGCGTCCCCCGGAGATGCCCCACAGCTGTTTAAGGAATTCTGGAGTGCTTTAGGTTGAGAGAGTCCTTAAAGCCCATCTCATTTCACTGTTCCAGGACACCTCCCACTGTCCCAGGCTGCTCCAAACCCATCCAGCCTGGCCTTGGGCACTGCCAGGGATCCAGGGACAGCCCCAGCTGCTCTGGGAATTCCATCCCAGGGCCTGCCCACCCTGCCAGGGAACAATTCCTGCCCAAGATCCCATCCAGCCCTGCCCTCTGGCACTGGCAGCCATTCCCTGTGTCCTGTCCCTTCATCTCTTATCCCAAGCCTCTCTCCAGCTCTCCTGGAGCCCCTTCAGGCTCTGGAATCTCAGCCCTTCACCTCCCAAGGCTGCAACAGCAAAGTTAAAAATCAGTTTGTTGGCTGGCAAAGCCAAGGGTGCAAAAGCTGCTCCCTCTGCCAGCCCCCACTGTGAGCTGGGCCCCTCCAAACTGGAAAAGAACACCAAAAAAAAATCTTTTCTAAATCATTTTAGGACCACCTCATGCTCCCTGTGCCCCGGGCTGTGGTTTTCCCCACAGCCACGCTCTCCTAGGTCTGAAAAACGTCTTTGAATGAGCAATGGGAGGGGAAAGTCCCATTCGAGCTGAGGACAAATAGATGACTAAAAAGAAACTGAAGAGAAATAAGGTGGAAAAAACTCTCTAAGCTCTGGTGTTTATCAGAACCGTGCACGTTTCTGGTAAGAAGGGACAGGTGAAACATTTCAGGGACGTGACAGAGCCGAGGATGTTTGGGATTTGCAAGCACAGAACTCCACATCTGGCTGGGGATGAGCACAGCTGGCCAGGAGGGCCAAGAGCACACGGGTAGTGCCAGCCCAGGAGGGGCTGGAGCGAGTCCAGGGCAGGGAATGGAGCTGGGAAAGGGGCTGGAGAATCCCTGAGGGAGCTGGGAAGGGGCTGGAGAATCCCTGAGGGAGCTGGGAAAGGGCTGGAGAATCCCTGAGGGAGCTGGGAAGGGGCTGGAGAATCCCTGAGGGAGCTGGGAAAGCTCAGCCTGGAGCAAAGGAGGCTCAGGGGGAATTTCTGGCTCTGCACAAGTCCCTGGCAGGAGGGGACAGCCGGGGGGATTTGGGATCTGCTCCCAGGAACAGGGACAGGAGGAGAGGGAACGGCCTCAGGCTGGGCCAGGGGAGGTTTGGGTTGGATATTTGGGAAAATTCCCTCATGGAAAACTTTTCCAGCCCTGACACAGCTGCCCAGGGCAGGGGTGGAATCCCCATCCCTGGAAGGACTCAAAGGCCACACGGATGTGACCACGGGTCAGAGGTGCCCTTGATCTTTAGGGTCTTTTCCAGCCTAAATAATTCCATGAAATACAGATCAATACATAAAGATAAATTAATATCTATTTTTTTTGTCTGTTTATATATAAACCCACCCTATTCTGTAATATCCTATTCACCCTTCCAAGGAAAACCACATTTCTCCTGGGCTTGGCTGACTCTCCATTCTCCAAGGATGAGTTTTGACATTCCCTTTCCCTCTTTCTCCACAGAATTCCCAGCACCAGGAGCCGTGGAGGTGAAGCCTGAGGAGCAGAGCAGGTTCCTGGTTCGGTGGCAGCGCCCCCGGCACAGCCGGAGCCCCCCGCTCTGGTTTGTGCTGGAGTGGGATTCCAGCTCCCAGCACGGCCAGAACCAGCTGCTCCTCTGGGAAAAAATCCCACAGCACCAAACACACACCTACATCCAAGGTAAAACACCCCAGGAAACCCTGAACCCCTCGGTGTGGCTCATCGGGATGGTGTAAATCCAAAAATATAGAGTGTAAATCCAAAAATATAAAGTATAAATTCAAAATAGATTATAAATCCAAAAATATAGAGTATAAGTACAAAAATACAGAGTATAAATTCAAAAATATAAAGTATAAATTCAAAATAGATTATAAATCCAAAAATATAGAGTATTAGTCCAAAAATATAGAGTATAAATTCAAAAATATAGAATATAAATCCAAAAAATATAGAGTATAAATCAAAAAATACAGAGTATAAATTCAAAAATATAGAGTATAAATCCAAAAATATAAAGTATAAATTCAAAATAGATTATAAATCCAAAAATATAGAGTGTAAATAGGGACACCTCCCCTGGCCCTCAAAAAATATAGAGTATAAATCAAAAAATACAGAGTATAAATTCAAAAATATAGAGTATAAATCCAAAAATATAGAGCATAAATCCAAAAATATAAAGTATAAATTCAAAATAGATTATAAATCCAAAAATATAGAGTGTTAGTCCAAAAATATAGAGTATAAATTCAAAAATATAGAATATAAATCCAAAAAATATAGAGTATAAATCAAAAAATATAGAGTATAAGTTCAAAAATAAAGATTATAAATCCAAAATGGAGATTATAAATCCAAAAATAGAGTATAAATCAAAAAATAGAGTATAAATCCAAAAATGTAGAATATAAATCCAAAAATAGAATATAAATCCAAAAAATATAGAGTATAAATCTAAAAATAGAGTTTAAATCAAAAAATAGAGTAGAGATCCAAAAATATAGAGTATAAATCCAAAAATATAGAGTATAAATCCAAAAATATAGAGTATAAATCCAAAATAGAGATTATAAATCCAAAAATGTAGATTATAAATCCAAAAATAGAGTACAAATCGAAAAATATAGATGATAAATCAAAAAATATAGATTATAACTCCAAATATAGATTACAAACCCAAAATATAGATTATAACTCTGAAAAATAAATTATAACTCCAAATATAGATTGTAACCCCAAAATATAAATGATAACCCCAAAATATACATTATAACCCCAAAATATAAATTATAACTCCAAAAGAGAGATTATAACCCCAAAATAGAGATTATAACCCCAAAATAGAGATTATAAAGGCAGTTGGATTTGAATTGGAGCCCCTGCCCGCTTGTTTTTGGGGATTGGGGCTGTGAAGAGCCCTGAGGGGAGGAGGAGGAGGGGAGAAATTGGAGATTTGAGGGCAGAAAATGGGATTTGGGTCCCTGGTGAGGATCACAGGGAAAGGAGGGGAGGAAAATGAAGTCAAGGTGAACGGGAACAGCACCAGACCCACAAAGGCAAATCCATCTCCTCTGGCCACTCAATCCCAAGGCCCTGAGCAAGCCCAGGGGCTTCAGAGCAGATAAAAAAAGCTGATTTTGAGGGTAAATCTGATTTTTGCCAGCGGCAGGAGCTCCCCTGCGCGTGCGGCTGTACGCGGTGTATCCCGACGGGATCAGCCAAGCCAGCTCCAGCCCAGGTGAGCAGGATCCGATCCCTCCACAGCGATTCCTCGGCTTTAGGAACAGGATAAACCCTCCCCAGCCAGCAGGAGAGGAAAATAGAGGGGAAAATCAATGGATTTGTATAAAAGCCGTCTCTAGCCGGGCTCTGCTCCCCTGCACACACCTAAAACACCCAAGAGCATTTTCCTTCACCAGTGGGGCCGTTGTCTCTTTCCCTGGCAGAAAAGTGAGGCTGCAAATGCAGAATTCCCGAGAAAATATTATGGATAAAGCAAAATCCAGCAAAGAGCTTTTCCAGGGAGCAGCTGGGCAGAGCCAGCCTGGAGTGGGAGCCACAGGAGGGACAACTTCAGCTGGATCAGCGCTGGGAAGGGTTTGAGGGAAGGAACATCATCATCATCCTCATGGCTGGGGGTGGCTTTGGGTGTCCCCAGGAGATCAGAGCAGGGTCTGAGCTCCTCCAGCCCAGCCTAGAGGTTTAACCAGAACCCTTGGGCAGGGGGTGGAAGGGTCAGGAGAGGCTGGGCAGGACCATTGAGGGCTGGCAGGACCAGAGGCACCCGCAGGTGACAGCTGAGGGTGTCCCCAACCCCGGTGCCCTCCGAGATGGATCCTCTGCAGCTGCCCAGGGATTCCTCCTGTGCCCAAAGGGCTCCGTGGCTCTGCCTGGCAGCTCTGGGAGCTGGAAGTTCTTCCCAAGGGATGGAAGCAGGCGCTGCCCTCAGGCCAGGACCCTTCCCTGTGGCACCAAAATTTTGTCAAGGATGAGGGATCCCGAGGGAATTGCTGAACCTGGCCAGGATCCGAGCTGGCCGCTGATTTTAGCAGAAAGAAGAAGACCTTGGCAGGGTCCTCAGCTGCAGATCTTCCCTCTCTGCATGGAAATAATGGGGGAATTCATTCCCGTGGGGTTCAGGCACTGGGGGAAATCACGGAATCCCAAATGGTTTGGGATGGGAAGGACATGAAATCCCACCCAGAGCCACCCCTGCCATGGCAGGGACACCTCCCCTGGCCCAGGCTGCTCCAAACCCATCCAGCCTGGCCTGGAACACTCCAGGGATCCACAACTTCTCTGGAAAACCTGTTACACAGCCTGGGAGTGCTGAGGAAAAACGATGGAGCTCCCCAGAGGGACTGGATCCTTGTTTTGGGTGCTGAGGGGAGGGAGGTGCAGGGAAGACGTTCTGTAGACTGCGACAGATGTTGATCAACACTTTGTTTAATTGGATCTCTGGGAAACGGGACGTTGTGGAGAGCCCAGGCAGAGCTGGAGTCATTCCAGCTTTGGGGAGCTTTATTTTCCTCATCATGCCATTATTAATTTATTATTATTTACTTTCCTAAAAAGATGAAGCCAGGGCAGGTTTTGTGTCAGCCACAGCCCTGTGAATGAAGCACAGACATTTTCCCCTCTCTCTGTTGCAGTCCCTGCGGAGGAGCCGCTCCTGGGCAGCGCTCACGGCGAGATGTCCCAGGGTAAGGAGGGCAGCTCCGCCTTGCTAAGCCCGGCTTGCTCCTGGCCTCAGGTGGGAGGTTTAACCCCAGCAGCTCCTGGAAGTGGGAATTGAGAGCTCCCAAATACTTTGGGGAGGTCAGAACCCCAAAGAAAAAGACCTTTTCACTCCGTGGGGACGCTCGTGCAGGAAAGGCCGCGGTGCTCTCGTGGATGAGCAGCACCCACAGAGCAAAAACTTGGAGTTTTACTTTCTAGTGAGGTTCGAATATAACCTCCAGCACCAGGAAAATATCAAATTAACCCGTGAGAGAGTGAATCCCTGAGCCCCAGGAGTGACCTCCTCCCTCTCACCCCCTTCCTCGCAGATGATATCAGGGTTTTCCTGGGACTGAGCCTCAGCGTGCTGGGATTGTCGGTTCTTTTCGCAATTGTGATGTTCAAAAAATCAGTCAGGAAAAGGTATTCCTTTCTCCCCCATGTCTTTCTTCTTTATTTCTTATTATTCACTAATTATTATTTCCAATTCATCTTTTTTTTTTATTTTTTTTTATTTTTTTTGATGTAGAAGAAATATAAAATTTCATCTGGGATGTTTTAAAATCAACTACAGGGTCCTTTTCACCTCGGCCTGGGGTCAATGTCACACATTTTTCAGGTTGTTGTATGAAAGGACCTTTTGGTGCTCTACAGTAAAGCAGAGAGCAACCACAAGAGTCAAATAAAATTAGTATAATTTTATTATATATATTGTATTATATATTATAAGTATTAAATTATATATTATATATATTATATATTATATTAGATATATTATATATGATATTATTATAATTATATAATAATATATTATATAATATTTTATATAAAATATTATATTACATATAATATAATATAATATAGTAATATATTATTATATATTATTATAGTATTATATTACATTAGTATATATTGTTATATATAATATATATTATATTATATTATATATTATTATATATAATACATATTATATTATATTATATTATATTATATTATATTAATAATTTTATTAAATACATAATATAATAAAATATTATATATTGAAATATTATTTATTATATATTTTATCTATACAATATATATAAAATATAATCATAAAATATATATTATATTATATTATATTATATTATATTATATTATATTATATTATATTATATATTTATATTATATATTTATATTATATATGTATAATATATATGTATAATATATATATAATTATATTTCATATAAAATGAAAATTAAATTGGTGAGATTGAAGAAAGGGGAACCCTGAGTTTCCAAGCCCCTCTCAAAGGCTGGGTGTTCTTCATGTGTCCTTCCAGGCACTTTTATCCTGCAGGAGGAATATCTGAGCAATAAATTGAATTTAAATTTTGGGGTTTGTTTTTGTTCTTCCTACCCAGTTTTATCCTGCAGGAGGAATATCTGAGTAATAAATCTGATTTAAATTTGGGGTTTGTTTTTTTCCTGCTGGTGAAGGACTAAGGCCACCCTTGTGTCCCTCTTGCCCAAGTGGCTCTTTGAAGACTTTCCCCGCATGGAGAACAGCAAAGTGGTGAAGTCACTCCAGGTGAGGGCAGAGTTTTCTCCTGGCTTTGCTTCCCCTCAGGTTAAAGCTTGGATTCACACAATCACGGAATAATCCAGGCTGGAAAATCCCTCGGAGATCGTTGAGTCCAACCATTCCCAGCAGTGCCAAGGCCACCACTGCCCATGTCCCCAAGTGCCACATGCACGGGGATTTTAAATCCCTGCAGGGATGGGGACTCCAGCCCTGTGCCAGCGCTGCCCAGCCCTTTCCACAGAGAAATTTTCCCCAAAATCCAGCTTAAACCTCCCCTGGCACGACCTGAGGCCGTTTCCTCTGGCAATTCCCTGTTCCCTGGGAGAGGGCAGCTCGCTGGGAGCTGTGAGGAGCGCGGGTGGGAGGAGGTTCAAGGTGCTGGGAACAGCTCAGGAATCATTTCCCAGGCATTTGCAAGGTGTGTGGGAGCCTGGATTAGCTGAGGTCTTTAAACCTTAATTCCACATTCCCCGTGTGGCCACGGCTCCGGGCTGGGAGGGACCTTGGAGCTCATCCCACTCCATCCCCTGGGCCAGGTTTGCTCCGAGCCCTAATTCCAGCTCTCCTAGAACAGAATTTGCCAGTTTGTTGCCACACCCATCATCTTTCCCCAGGACCAGGGCGATTTCCCCAGCGAGAGCCCCCGGGAGCCGTTCCCGGCCTGCGGTGACCCCGCGGTCACGGAGCTCCAGGAGGTGCCGGCGCAGGAGCGGAGCGAGAACCTGGACACGGAGGAGCCACGGGAGCTGCCCAGGAGCGTGGTGGTGACCCCCAGCAGCCCAAGCCCAGAGCAGCTCGGAGCCTACAAACCCCAGCTCTCCATCGGAACCACGCCGGGATACGTCGCGGCCGGGATTCACCCGCAGCCCGCGGCCGCTCCGCCAGCGGAGATGGGAATCTTCTCCCAGGACTACAGCAACCCTGTCCCCCAGCTGTGGCAGCAGCAGGGGGGACCAGCCCAGGTGTGCCTGCTGGAGAAGATCCACCTGGTCCTGAACAGCAGCCAGGAGTTCCCAGAGCCGGCGGGACGCGGATCCTTCCCGGAGAAGCGCTGGGAGCAGAGGCCGCCCAGCGATGTCCCGGAGCAGATGCTGGTCCCCGAGGAGCTGCTGTCCTGCCTCAGAGCTGTCAACAGGGAGCCTGTGGATGGAAATCCCTGCTTCCCACAGAGCGTGGGAGGGCTGCTCGGAGAGAGGCTGGAACTGGGATAAAGCCCTGGAGCACCGGGATTGCCAGTGGAAGAAGCAGAGCAAAGCTCCGGGTTGGAATTCTGCCCTCTTACCCCGCTGCAGGTTCTTGGGGCTGCCTGGGGATCTTGGGCCAGCAAATCCCAAACTTAACCTCACCTCAACTTGGCAGAAGCAAAGAACCCACCAAGCTTGGATTCCTGGAATGCTGAGCAGGAGATTCCTGCAGGGTGCAATATCTTCAGTTACTGCCCAACATCGTCCTCTCCTCAAAGCTTTGGAGTATTTAATTCCCGAAGATTTGAACCATTTCATTCCCAAAGGTTTGGAGCATTTCAATCCCAAAGCTTTGGAGCATTTCAGTCCCAAAGATTTGGAACATTTCATTCCCAAAGGTTTGGAGCATTTCAATCCCAAAGGTTTGGAGCATTTAATTCCCAAAGATTTGAAGTATTTTATTCCTAAAGATTTGGAGCATTTCAATCCCAAAGGTTTGGAGCATTTAATTCCCAAAGATTTGAAGTATTTTATTCCTAAAGATTTGGAGCATTTCAATCCCAAAGGTTTGGAACATTTCATTCCTATAAGTTTGGAACATTTCATTCCCAAACTTTGGAGCATTTCAATCCCAAAGGTTTGGAGTATTTAATTCCTGAAGATTTGAACCATTTCATTCCCAAAGGTTTGGAGCATTTAAATTCCAAAGATTTGGAGTATTTTATTCCTAAAGGTTTGGAGCATTTCATTCCCAAAGGTTTGGAACATTTCAATCCCAAAGGTTTGGAGTATTTAATTCCTGAAGATTTGAACCATTTCATTCCCAAATTTTTTGAGCATTTCAATTCCAAAAGTTTGGAGCATTTCATTCCTGAAGATTTGGAGCACTTAATTCCCAAAGATTTGAACCATTTCGTTCCCAAAGGTTTGGAATATTTCATTTCCAAAGATTTGAACCATTTCATTCCCAAATGTTAAGAGCACTTCATTCCTGGAGCTAATTGCAGTTAAAACAGATAAAAAATTCCCTCAGACATCCTGGCAGAGATGTGGAAAATATTTTGGGATTGCTCCTGAGGAGCAGACACAGCACCAAGGAGGATTTCTGTACCGATTTCTGTCTCACACGGGTGAACATGGAACCTTTTCTGTCCTTCATTTTCCTCCCATTCCCCCAAAAAAACCCTGCCAGGCTGATTTAAAATCCCTCTGAATCGCTCACTGGCTGAATCCTTCCCTTTGGGTGAGGGATTTCTCATCCCACAGCTCTTCATCATGCTGTGGGGAGAAAGATGGGATTTACCAGGCACAAGAACATGAATTTGGACACCCAGAAGGTGAAACACAGCAGCCTCCTTCCCCCAGCAGCCCTGAAACCGTTTCCAGGTGTTCTGGGACTTAGAAAATATTCTTCAGTTTTAGGAATTCCTAAAAATTCCTAAGTTTAATTCCTAAACTTAGAAAAAACTCCTAAATTTCCCCAATTTTTCCTAAGCACTGTGAGCGTTTCTCCACCAGCTGTGGCACAAATGGATTAATTTTGTTGTTTTTCCTCTCAGTAGTTCCAAAGCACCCTGGTGGGTGCTGTGGCTGTTCCTTTACACCCCCAGGAATCTGTCCCTGCTTCCAGAGGAGCAGTGACCTGGCAAGGAGGGTGAGGATTCTTCTTCAGATCAGCAAAAAAAATGCAGAAATGTGAGTGTGGCACAGCAGGGAGCCTAAAATTAGTGAGTGCTGCCCGTGCAGGAAGGAAATTGTACAAGAGCAGCTTTCAGCAGTGTGAGGTGGGGAAGGTTTTTATTTTTTCTCAATGTCCACATCCTGAGGCTTGTGCTGCCAAACCTCGAGGGGGGAAATGCTCCTCTTGCCTGGAAACAGAGCTGCTGCTGCTTTTCAGGGAGCTGCTGGCTGGATTTGCAGCCCCAGGAGCAGAGCTCCTGCTCTTCCAGCAGGGATGGAGCGATCCCAGCTCCCACCATGGGCAGAGAGCCGTGGGTGCCAGCCCTCCTCGGGAGGTAAAAGGAAATATTTCTGTTTTCCACGGGTTCAGCTGGAAAATCTGGGCTGGGAAGGGCACAAATACACAGAGAGAGAGAGAGAAATTCGGGGATGAATGCCCAGGGAAGCTGTGGCTGCCCCTGGATCCCTGGCAGTGCCCAAGGCCAGGCTGGAGCAGGTGGGAGGTGTCCCTGCCATGGCAGGGCTGGCTCTGGATGGGATTTAAAGTCTCTCCCAACCCAAACCTTTCTGGGATTCTGTGATCCCAAACACCATCCCAGGCTGCTCCAAGCCCCATCCAACCTGGAACACTTCCAGGGATGGGGCATGCCATGAATCCCATCACAAAGTCGCTCTGGACTGATTTAACACCTCAGGGTTCCCCATTTCCCTCAAATATTACAAACTCCTTTGTATTTTTGCTGTCAGGTTTTTGTATCCCCTGTTTAAAGCTCTTTTTTTACTGTTGGCAGTCGGATCCAGAGCCAGAGATTCCCACTTGTTGTTGATCAGCTCAGGAATGAATTCCATGATTTTCACGACCCCCAGAGATGCTCCACGGCGCTGCCTCATCACTGACAAGGTTCTAACAAAACCACACTAAAAAAAAAGGACTTTTTCTACAAAGGGAAAGAGAAAACAAATGGGAAGAAACAAGAAATGGGGTGCAGACAGCTCAGGGGGGGGAACAGAGATCCACCCACTCCTGCTCCATCCCATCAGAGCAGGATGTGTCTACAGGGAGCAGCTCAGGGCTGCAAGGAGATCCCACCACCACCAGAGCTCAGGCAGAGACTCCCCTGTGAGACCCGTTCACCTCTTCAAGAAGTCAGCTTGGAAATGATTTAAAGCGAAAGGAGGATAAAGAAACAATAAATGAATTTAACACACAATAAATGACGCGTTCAACGCGCATCTGAGTCACGCTTTTAAACCCTCTGTGCCATCGCCATGCAGGAGGACGTGGAATTCATTCTGGTTTCAGGTTGGCAGCGCAGAGAGCTGGGTTTAGGCTCAGCTTAGTCACCAACTGATGGTGTGACTTCATCTGCTTCTTATCTGCAGAGTCTGGCTTACTGCAGCTGGTGGAGGCTCAGGAGGGAAGGTAAAAGCGCCTTAAACCCTTGGGGAGGAGCAGCAGGAGCAGGAGGTGACAGAAACATCCTCTGAGCACCTGCTGCAGCTGGGTTTTACCCCCTGCTCACCCTCAGCGGGCTTTGGCTGTCAGTAAATCGTGGGAGAGGTTGGGTGGCAGACACGGGCGCTGCAGGGGCTAAAATCGGATTTCAGGCTGGGAGGTTTCACAGAGCTCAGTAACACCCCGAGACCTTGGGGGATTTCTGAGTGCTCTGAGAGGAGATCAAAGCCCAGATTGTGGCCAAGGCTCGTGCAAAGCTGCAAAGAAGTGCCTGGGTCAGCAGAACCCTTCTGAAAACGTGCTGGGGCTAAAGCAGCGGCAGCCGGGGCGGCCTCGCAACAAAACTGGGAGAAATCATTAAAAATGATGGGATTTGGGGGAGCCTGTCCCTTCCCTGAGCCTTTCAGGGGTTTTGGGAGGAGGAGGAGGAGTCCTGACAGGGCTGAGCTCAGGGTCACAGACCAAAGGAGAGGATGTGAGAGCTGAGGCTGTGCTTTGGGCCCCGAATGTCATCTTGCCAGGACAAATCCCATGAGAACGGCACCGGGAAAGCCGTGGGAGCAGGGCTGGAATGAAAGAGAAGAGCAGAACACAGGGATTGGGAAATGAATTACAGAGGTGATGTAATAGGGGAGATTCTCTCCTCACAGCCAGGAGTTAACCTTGCCACAGGGACACAGAAAACATCACAGTGCAATAAAGGATAAAGATGTTGTGTCTTCTGTGCATCATCATCTCCTGGAGCAGCACCAAACTCCTCTGAAGCAGCACCAAACTCTCCTGGAGCAGCACCAAACTCCTCTGGAGCAGCACCAAACTCCTCTGGAGCAGCACCAAACTCCTCTGGAGCAGCACCAAACTCCCCTGGAGCAGCACCAAACTCCTCTGGAGCAGCACCAAACTCCTCTGGAGCAGCACCAAACTCTCCTGGAGCAGCACCAAACTCCCCTGGAGCAGCACCAAACTCTCCCCCTGGCTCCAGCTTTGGCTGGAGGCTCAGAAGGAAGCAGAGCACTGGGATTTTCCAGGCTGGAGGACTCATCCCACCCTGCTGGGGAAGGCAGAGTCACCGAGAGCCCCTGGCACACAAAGGGATGGAAAACACGGAGCCAGCGCAGAGGGGACCCTCAAACTGCCACCCTGCAGGGGGGTGGCTCATCCTGCTGCTGCTGGACTTCAGCTCTGCCACGCCACAATTCCATGGTCCAGGTTCCAAGGAAGCAGAGATGGACACCAGGGGGAAGTTATGGAGCTGCTGGAGAGATTCCAGAGGAGCCCCTGGAGCTGCTCCAGGGCTGGAGCCCCTCTGGAGCCAGGCTGGGAGAGCTGGGGGTGCTCACCTGGAGAGGAGAAGCTCCAGGGAGAGCTCAGAGCCCCTTGCAGGGCCTGAAGGGGCTCCAGGAGAGCTGGAGAGGGACTGGGGACAAGGGATGGAGGGACAGGACACAGGGAATGGCTGTGAGTTGAAAAAGGGGGGATTTAGATGGGATTTTGGGAAGGAATTCCTGGCTGGGAGGGTGGGCAAGCCCTGGATCAGAATTCCCAGAGCAGCTGTGGCTGTCCCTGGATCCCTGGCAGTGCCCAAGGCCAGGCTGGATGGGTTTGGAGCAGCCTGGGAAAAGCAGAGTTTGGTATTTAAAGTGAAGGGGAAGGATGAAAAGGAGAAAAAAGAAAGGGGAAAAGATTAAAAAGATAAAAATTATTTAAAAATATAAACAAGAAAAAAATATTTTAAAATATTCAAAAGGTAAAAAATATATAAAAGAGATGTAAAAGATAAAAATAAAAAATAGGAAAAGATAAAAATGATAAAAAGTATTTAAAGTTATAAAAAAGGTAAAAATAAAAATTATAAAAAGGTAAAAAATATAAAAATATTAAAAAGGGAAAAGGGAAAAGAAAAGAAGGAAGAAGAAAAAGGGAAAAGAAAAAGGGAAAAAAGGACCAAAAAAAGAGAGAAAAAGAAAAAGGAAGAAAAAATAGTAGAAAAATAAATAAGAAAAAAAGGAAAAGTAAAAAAAGACAACAGCAAAGAAAAAAATACAAAAGGAGAAAAGAGAAAGGGGGAAAAGAAAAAAGGAAAGTGGAAAACAAATACATAAAGGAAAGAAAATCAGAAAAAATAAAACCTAAAAAGATTTTTAAAAGAAGAAGGAAAAGGAAATAAGAAAAAAATAGAAGTGAAAGGAGGGTGATTTCCTCTTGCCTGTCACTACAACCCCAACCTCTGATCCCCTGAGCCATCCAGCAGCATCTCCCCTCCAACACCTCCTGCATGAGGGGAACCGAGTGAACATTCCCAGGAAATCAGGAAAAAGGGGATTGGATCCCACAGAACTCCTGGTGCTGTCCTGGCTGAAGCTCATCCCAATCCTGGGGCAGCCTCGTGGAGCTGGGAAGGGCCCTGGAAAAGGGGAAGAGTCACGGGAGCTGATGAAGGCAGAGGAGAAACGAGAGGTAAAAAGAAGTTTTTGATATTTGGAATTCTGTGGGGAATTTCCCCCTCCTCCTTCCCCACCCAGGAAATTAATTATTAATTAATGATAATTATTGGCAGCTCTGGAAAGGAGCCCAGGACTTGCTCCTGGCTTTGAGAGGGAGGAAAAGTAGCTCAAAGGCAAAATTTTGAGGGAGGCTCAAAGGCAAAATTTGGGATTCCTGGATGCTGCAAACTTTTGTGTCGCCTCATTTCTGAAGCTGTGCCTGAAATTCCTGTGCTGAGGTGTCCAGGGGGAGAAAAGCTGAGCACAAGCAGCCAGAAAAGCTGAGCCGATGTCATGGGCGGCCTGAAAAGAGAAGGAACAATAACAGCAAGAATTAATTCATTTAGAGCTCTGTTAAATGCTCACTATCCCAGATATTCCCTGCACCCTGGGATGGAGCAGCCCAAGGAGAGCAGCTCCAAAAGTCCATCCTGAACAACCCCTCCCTCATTCCCTGGGCTCTGATGAAATCCCCCGGGATTTCTGATAAGGTTTGGGATGACCTGGGGTGTCACTGTCCTCACAGAGCCTGGGGACAGCCAAAGTGCAGGAAATCTTCCCTAAAACCTCAGCCAGTGCCAGGGATTTGGGGAGATTTGGGGCACAAAGAGCGGGGTTGAATGACCGAGATGTTCCTCCAGCAGCTCCTGGACAGCACAGCGGAGGTTTTCCAGGGAGAAGTGGGGTTGAAAGCCAGCCCTGGAGCTGTGGTGCCTCAGAGCTGGAGGCTGAGGGGACAGCCAGAAGCCCTGTGCCACATCCACAGGGTGACAGAGAGCGTGGCCTGTGACCCTGGCGCTCCCAGAGGAGATTTGGGGGATAAGAAAACACAAAACCAGGCGCAGGTTGGTACCCCACAGACACCTGGAGACTTCTCCCCCTCCTGGCACAGGACAATTCCCTTTTGTGTTTCATCCCCTACAGCCAGCAGTGCTGATTTCCCTCCCTTGATGCCTTCCTGGAGCAGAGGCTGGGCAGGGTTAAAGGAATAAAGCAGGGATTTATTAAAAGCCCTTCCAAGGAGCACCTTGGGCAGTGCAAGAGCCCGGCCGTGGCTCCACCCGAGCTGGGCTCTGAGTCACGAGTTTCACACTTTGATAAGTTCTGCTCCATGAATTAATTGTCCAATTCCAGCTCCAGTGATGCAGTCCTCACATCAATTCCCTGCTGGTTGTACCCTTTGGGCCTGGAGCTGCAATTTTGTCTGCCTGAGCTGTGAGGAGAACTTGCTGGGGCTTTCTGTGAAGTTCAGAGTTAGGCACCAATGCAGGGCAGAATCTGGAAAATATGAAAGCTAAAACACTTCAGGCATCACACTGATGTGGAATCCAGGGGGTTTCCATTCATTTTCCATTCTCAGCTCTGAGCTGGAGGTGGTTCCTCAGCAGTTTCTCACCCTTTTCTCCCATCTCAGTTAAATCTCCAGCAGCTCTGAGCAGATGCTTTGGGGTGAGGTTGTTCTGCCCCTTGTCCCGGGTATTTGGGGCAGTGATGCTGGATCTTGAGTTTTTTTGGGATACTCTTTCACAGAGAGTTTCATTTATTTTAGTTTTGTGTTAGGAAGAATACTTTAAAAGCTCGTTAGGCTTCTGTTTCTTATGTTTATTAATATATTATCAAAAGACTTGGCAGTCTTTCTTGGACTTTCTGCTTAACTTATTATTGACTGGCTCAAATTGATTGGAATGGCACAAAATGGCCTTGAAATACACAGATCTTTTATTTTTACACTCATTTTCACTCAATTAATGACACATGTATTTTTTTTAATTGACTTAATGACTCAATATTTGTGAGCTGCACTGCAGCATTCTCTATCTAATCACTGCTACTTTAAAATTTCTAGAAGAAGATGAAGAAGAAAGAAGGACAAGAGACAACATCTTCAATTTTCTATTTTATCTCCTGTCCTCTAAACTAGTTCAAACTCCAAACTTTAACTTTTTCACTCAGTGACTTAAGAAAGCACTCTGATTTACACTTAATTAATCACTCTGAATTGTTCTATGGAAGTTTAACAGTTGTTTTCATGGTGTTGTATGGAATTCAGTGTTTTTTTGGATGTCAGAGCCAGGTATGGGAGATAAGGGCAGGGTCTCTGTGACTCCTGCAGGGCACTTTGCTGTTCTCACAGTTTAGTGGAAGGCTGAACATTTCCCTGAAGAACCTGAGCTTGCTCATCCTGGCACTCACGAGTCACCTACAGAAGGCACCACATGAAGAGGTTCTGGGTGAGCTGAGAGCCTGAAAGTCACAGCCTCTGGATTTAAATGAAACTTTTCATTAGAAAGGTCTCACAAAATGAGCATTTGGGATTTTCTCAATTAGTAAAACAGAAAAACACAAAGATCTGTACATAACATCATTCTTCAGCAGCTGGTAACAGGAATTCCTTCCTCTCTAGGCACCAAAATGGCATTTTCATGGATTGTGCCCTCAGCAATTTGGTTGGTGCTGCACTTCACAGCAGGTAAGAGGGGTTTCTTCCTACAGAGCAATTAGTTCTCTAATCAAGCACTCAGCCTAATTAGGATTTTTCCAGCTTCTACTCCAAGTGCCAGTGAGCATCTCCCTTTCTGGAGTTCACAAGAGATGCAGGGAGTTTGTTTGGGTTTTAGTTCAAGGTGGTTATGTGAGAAAAGGCACCGGGACAGGCAGAGCTCACAAACAGGAAAAAATTTGTGTTTGCAGAATCCCAGAATGGTTTGGGTTGGGAGGGACCTGAAATCCCATCTCATCCCACCCCAGCCATGGCAGGGACAGCTCCCCCTGTCCCAGGCTGCTCCAAACCCATCCAGCCTGGCCTTGGGCACTGCCAGGGATCCAGGGGCAGCCCCAGCTGCTCTGGGAATTCCATCCCAGGGCCTGCCCACCCTGCCAGGGAACAATTCCTGCCCAAGATCCCATCCAGCCCTGCCCTCTGGCACTGGCAGCCATTCCCTGTGTCCTGTCCCTCCATCCCTTGTCCCCAGTCCCTCTCCAGCTCTCCTGGAGCCCCTTCAGGCCCTGCAAGGGGCTCTGAGCTCTCCCTGGAGCTTCTCCTCTCCAGGTGAGCACCCCCAGCTCTCCCAGCCTGGCTCCAGAGGGGCTCCAGGAGCAGCTCTGGGTCCTTCCTGTGCCTCCTGCCACAGCTCTGCTGCCACAGGCACCTCTCTAATCCCTGATGAAAGGAGGTTTCTGGGGCTGCCTGGGTTTTTTGGGAACTGGGAGCGGCCCCACGGCTGCTGCTCCCAGAGAACATCCCAGGGGTTCCTGTGCAGAGCCCGGAATTTCTCCAGCAGGCATTGGGGACCCCCTGGCTGAGCAGGGAAGCCAGGGGGGTTCCAGCTGGAGTTTTCTGTGTTCCCCCACAGAATCCTGCAGGAGAGGGGCTGTGAGTGCCCCCAGAGCCTCGGGGGTGTGCGCCAAGGGGACGGTGACAGCCAGCAGTGGCCAGGCCGTGCCGCCTGGCACCAACATCACCGTGTCCTGCAGGCTGGCAGCTCCTCCAGGAGCCTCCTGGTGCTGGGCAGCGATCTTCCTCAACAGCTCCGAGCAAATCCGAGGGCAGGGAGGCTCCGTCAGCAAAACCTTCCTGCTCAGCAGCCACGGCAAACACACCTTCACGTGCAAAAGCATCTGTGGAGACAGGGCAAAACTCGTCTGTGGGATCGATATCCGGGCTGGGAGTAAGGGAACATCGCTTCTTCATCCCTGCTGGGGAACAGGGGAGGGGCTCCCAGGGGTGGCTTTGGCCAGGGCTGCTGCTGGCTGTGAGGGGCTCTTCCTGTTGGGAATATTCCTGCTTGGAATTGTGCAGCTGTGTTATTCCTGAAGGGAGAGAGGCTCCATAAATCTGCAAACAACGTCCTCCCTACCCAGCACCCCTGAAAATGTCTCCTGCCAACCTCTCTGAGGAGGAGACGCTGAAGGCCAGGCTGGATGAGGCTCTGATCTGCTCTGCCTGAGGATGTTGGACTGAAGGATCCTCAAAGGTCCAACCCAAAGCAGGCTGTGGTTTTAGGACTGACGGGAATTTCTGTTCCAGCCCCTCCAGACGAGCCCAGGAACGTGTCCTGTATCCAGTTTGGGACACGGGGCCGTCCCACCTGCAGCTGGCACAAAGGAAGGCTCACCTACCTCGACACTGCCTATGGAATAGAGTAAGTGAGGGGCTGTAAATGTAATTAATGCCTAATTCCCCCCTGGAGCAGCTCTCTGATGGTGCCCTGCAGCTCCCTCGGGGGTCAGGGAAGAGGCTGTGCCAATCCATCCCTTTGGGAAGGGAACCTGTCCCCCCACACCTTCCCTGCTCCACAGAAATCCAACCAAACTTTTCCTTCTGCTCCAGGCTCTCCAATGGGACTGACACCTTCTGCTTTCCAGAAGAAACTCCCAGCCCTGTGTTTGGCTCTGGGAGTCTGAGCAAGCTGGATTTTAATTCCAATTACACCGTGGTGGTTTCTGCCTCCAATCAATTAGGAAATGCCTCTTCCCAGCCACTCACCTTCACGTTGGTAGACATAGGTAAAGCACCACTCCTCACCTCCCAGTCAGCCCCAGACCCTCAGGGAAAACCTGAAAATATTCAGGACCTCTTGGAAAAACATTAAACCTCTTGGAAAAATCATCCAGCCTAAACCAATAATCCTGTTTTCCACCTAACCCCCCGTTCTGGGCTGTGCTGCCTCTCTGAGCCCTGCTTGTTTCTGTGTTTTGGTGCCAGTGAAGCCACATCCTCCTGACTTTGTGGTGGAATTTGATGATTCTTCTGCCACCAGCTGCAGCCTTTCCTGGCACCATGAGGCACAAGCACAGCACTACAGGCTGAGGTATCGCCCCCTCAGCAGCAGCACCTGGAGCACGGTAATTCCCTTCGGGAATGAGGCAGTTCTGGTCCTGCTGGAGAAGGAAAAAATCTGGGGAGAGCTCAGAGCCTGAAGGGGCTCCAGGAGAGCTGGAGAGGGGCTGGGGACAAGGGATGGAGGGACAGGACACAGGGAATGGCTGTGGGTTGAAAAAGGAAGGATTTAGATGGGATTTTGGGAAGGAATTCCTGGCTGGAATGGTGGGGAGGCCCTGGAATAGAATTCCCAGAGCAGCTGGGGCTGTCCCTGGATCCCTGGCAGTGCCCAAGGCCAGGCTGGATGGGTTTGGAGCAGCCTGGGACAGTGGGAGCTGTCCCTGCCATGGCTGGGATGGCTCTGGGTGGGATTTAAGTTCTTTCCCACCCAAACCATTCCACAATTCCGTGAAGTTTTATTTGCTTTAGGTGGCAAAAGGAAGGTTTTGCTGGGAGCTGAGCAAATCCCTCAGAAATGAGGGATTTCTCAGCTGAAGCCCTGCAGGCCTGATGATTCCTCACATCATTCCCTGATCAGGGTTTCTCCTGAATTCATAATCCAGCCTCTCGTTTCCTTGGGAGTTTAATATCAATTCCCTCATCCCCACCAAAGGTGGAAATCTTCAGCAGGGAGAAATATCATCTCCAGGGGCTGGAGCCTGACACAGCCTACGAGTTCCAGGTGAGCTGCAGGATCCTGCCCGGCCGGGGGCTGTGGAGTGACTGGAGCAGCACCCAGAGCCAAACTCCAGCAGCAGGTAAGGAATGAACCCTCCTGCCCTAAAGCCAGCTCTGCATCCCACGGGAAACTCCAGCTCAGGAGACCCAAAGTGCTGCTGCCTTGTTTTGTGCCAACCCTAATCCGAGAGAGAGAGAGAGGTTTCTGTAAGAAAATTGCATTTTTTTAATGAACAAACGGGGAAGCTGTTGGTGTTTCTCTCAAAACAGGAATTTCCAGAGTTCACTGAGAGCAGCTGAAGGATTTGGGGGTTGGAATGAGATTGATCTTTAAGGTGCCATCCAACCCTTCTAATTCTGTGATTCTCTGCTTGGCTTGGGCTGCTCTTTTTTTGAATTTTTGTGAATTCCTGGGAGCTGGTGGGGCTGGTGCTGTTCTGATCAGCCCATTTCCCATTCCCCAGCGACAGCAGCACTTTCTGCATTCATTGATGGGGAGGTGTGAACGCCTCCCTCGCTCTCCACAGTTTTCTCCCTGGGTTTGTGGCCATCACCAGCCCCAGAGAGTTTTCAGCTGATCGAGGAGCTCTGGGTTCATCATCCCCACTCTGCCTTGCAGGAGCTGAAATCCTCCACAAATTGTCTCCAATCAAACCTGTTCAGGGAGAAATTCCTTTTCCTGTGAACTGCCAAAAATCTTACCTTGCTCACGGGCTTCACAGGCTCTCACATCCAGGCTGGAGGGCAGCAGGTGCAATCCCACATTTGAATTTTGCTGCTTTGAGCTCACACTCAATGCTCTGGCTTTGTTCCTGCTGCTGCTTCTTGTTTGTGTTCCAGTCACTCTCTGCAGTCAGTGCAGGACAAAGTGCTCCCAGCATCGCTGATGTGAAGGGTTTTGTGTCTTTGCTGCAGCCCTGCTGTCCCATCAGCTGCCCCCTGCTGTTAATAATTAGCAATCGCTAATTTAATTTAATCAGTTGATGCTGGTCAGGGTCCTTGAGGAGCCAAGCTCTGTCACCTCAGCTTTCCTGACATATTCATCTCTGATTCTGGATTTCCAGCCAGATCTTCCCTTTAAAGTCATCTGGGGAGGTTTCTTCAAAACAGCAAGAGTTTCCAGTCAGAGCTGTGGGAGGCACCAGGGGTTTCAGCTGCCTCAGAGGAGCTGTTAAAGGCCTTTAGTGCCCAGAACCTGACAGGAAAATCCAACACATCCCCCAGACGCCCTCATCCGCATCTGGGATTGATGGAGCCGAGCCCAAGGACCTTCATAAGCCTCAGATTTATGCAAAGGCAGGAGCTAATGCTGTGCACTGATGTGTGGGTGTCCTTGGGAGCCATCGGGATTGTTGAGGTCAGGATGAAGCCCCCAGCAGATCCAAACTCCTCTCCTTGGCTTTGTGGCTTTGTTGTCCTCATGATCCCGTCCTCAAAGCAGCCAAACCACAGCAGACATGGATTATCACACCCTGCAGCATTTCAGGGACAGTTTAAAGTTTCAATTTGAGTTTTTCTCAGGGGTTTTACCTCCCTGTTGTTTCATTTCTTGGTTTTATGCCCCAGCCATGCCCACTGCTCTGCTTTTCCTTCCCCTGCAGTGCCAGCTGGGATCCTGGATGTGTGGTACCGGCAGCAGGACCTGGGCCCTGGGCACCAGAACCTCTCCCTTTTTTGGAAGGTGAGTTTGGTGAGACCCCAGCAAAACCCAGCCAGGTGAGAGGGGAAACCAGAGCCAGGTGAAAGGAGCAATTCTGATTTTTAGGATTGCAGCAAGGACTGAACCCTGGGAGAGCACAAGGGTTTCAGCAGTTCCCAGGGACATGGAACAAGGGCTCCATGGAACAAGGAGATCCATCATCATTTTTCTATCTGCAATTTCATGGAAAGGCAGAATTCTTTGGATTGGGAGGGATCTTGAATGTCATCTTGTTCCATGGGCAGGGACAGCTCCCACTGTCCCAGGCTGCTCCAAACCCATCCAGCCTGGCCTTGGGCACTGCCAGGGATCCAGGGACAGCCCCAGCTGCTCTGGGAATTCTATCCCAGGGCCTGCCCACCCTGCCAGGGAACAATTCCTGCCCAAGATCCCATCCAGCCCTGCCCTCTGGCACTGGGAGCCATTCCCTGGCTCCTGTCCCTCCCTCCCTTTACCCCTCTCCAGATTCCACAGCGTTTTTGGGGTCTGGTGGGCAGAGCTGGGGGCTGGGACCCCACAGGGAACATTCCAGACAGAATTTGGTTTAAAACCCACCAGAATTAGGTAAAAAAATTCACTGTGCTCTCCCCCCAGCACACACCAGCAGGCACCATGGAAGTGAAAGCAGAAATTCTCATGAGATTCTGTGAGCCCAGATGTTGTGGCTTTAACTTGAGGACCTTTATCTTGCAGCATTTTCTTTATCAGGAGTGACTTCCTGCAGCATCATTCATGAAACAGAGTAATAAACTGCCTTTAGAGGTTTCACAGCCAGACTGAGACTCAGGATCACTTCCTACCAAGGCTGTGCTCTAACTCTCTGACAAATACCCAGAAAAGGGTTGCAAATTTAATTTCAGCAGGTTTCCAGCCCTGCAAACATTTTGGTTTGTGCTTTGTTTTGTTATGACAAAAATCAGCCAGACAAATGGATTAATGTCACAGAAACAGCAGGAAACTGAAACTGGGAGTCCAACTGCACCCAGAGGGGAGTAAAGCAGGGTGTGGTGTTCCACAGACTGTCAGAGATGTGTGCTCTGAGTGGTTCAGTTTAAATAATTCTTTACGCTGGTTTTAAGTAAAATCCAGGTTTTTCCTCCCAAGCAAAAGCTGCTCATTTTGACAGATCCAGGAGAGCAGCTGATAATCTCTTTTTCCCTCCCTTGTGAATTCAGCCTCAGGCCAGGAAGGGTTTTGCTCTCCCCAGCTGTGCTGCTGCTGGAAAAATCAGCATCTGATAGCAAAAGAGCTTCCCTAAACTGGAATTGAGTGGGAAAAATAAATCCTGGAATGTTTTGGGTTGGGATGGACCTTAAATTCCAGCCCTGCCATGGCAGGGACAGCTCCCACTGTCCCAGGCTGCTCCAAACCCATCCAGCCTGGCCTTGGGCACTGCCAGGGATCCAGGGACAGCCCCAGCTGCTCTGGGAATTCTATCCCAGGACCTGCCCACCCTGCCAGGGAACAATTCCTGCCCAAGATCCCATCCAGCCCTGCCCTCTGGGAAGCCATTCCCTGTGTCCTGTGCCTCCATCCCTCACCCCAAGCCCCTCTCTGGCATTCCCAGGTGACAGCTGCGTTTTCCCCGCAGGCCCTGAGCAGGTTGGAGGCAGGAGGAAGAATCCTGGGATACACGGTGACCTTGGAAGCCCTGGGCCAGGGGAAGCTCCCGGCACAATCCCACCGGACCAGCCAGACCAGCTTCTCCAGGGTGACCCCCAGGGTGGCCCACAGGGTGACAGTGACTGCCCAGGGTCCCCGGGGCAGCTCCCGCCCCGCTGCCATCCTCATCCTCCCGGGCAGCCCGGGTAAGGCTCCCGCTGCCCCGGCATTCCCGGGATCCTGCTCCGCTTCCCGCAGAGGGTTCTGCCCTTTGCGCTCCTCCCGGCGGAACTTCGGATCCGCTTTTCCCTCTGGCCCTTTCCAGTGTCCGGGCCCAGCTCTCCCAGCCTGGCTCCGGCCACAGCGGCTCCAGCCCTTGGAATATCCCCGTTACAGGGAATATCCCTGCTCTGGGATCGCTGCAGCAGCCCCACATCATTCCTGGTGCTCCCATCGGGGCAGGGGGCTTAGGATGGCACAACCGAGCCGTGCTGAGGGTGCCCAATCCATGAGAAAAGCTGGGAATGTGACTGTTCCCGACAGCAGCCCCCTCTCCCTCCCTTCTGTGTAATTCCCATTAATTTTTACCCTCCATGGCACAACCCACGCGGGGACGGCGGCGCTCGGCTCCGGGTCGCGATAACTGGGTGGGTTTTGTTGTCCCCTGGAAGATCTGCCCCCTCCTGAGCGAGTGTCCAGCGTTGCCCTGGGCAACAGCAGCATCCTGGTGACCTGGAGCCCCCCTGTCACCCCCACCCTGCCCGTCGGGGGGTACCTGCTGGAATGGGCCGAGCCCGGGAGGGATCCGCACCTGCAGCCCCGAAACACCTGGAGGAAACTGCCCCCGACCCGGCTCTCCACCGTGCTGGCAGGTAAATGTCACCTGCAATGACAGGTAAATGTCACCTGCAATGACAGGTAAATGTCACCTGCAATGACAGGTAAATGTCACCTGCAATGACAGGTAAATGTCACCTGCAATGACAGGTAAATGTCACCTGCAATGACAGGTAAATGTCACCTGCAATGACAGGTAAATGTCACCTGCAATGACAGGTAAATGTCACCTGCAATGACAGGTAAATGTCACCTGCAATGACAGGTAAATGTCACCTGCAATGACAGGTAAATGTCACCTGCAATGACAGGTAAATGTCACCTGCAATGACAGGTAAATGTCACCTGCAATGACAGGTAAATGTCACCTGCAATGACAGGTAAATGTCACCTGCAATGACAGGTAAATGTCACCTGCAATGACAGGTAAATGTCACCTGCAATGACAGGTAAATGTCACCTGCAATGACAGGTAAATGTCACCTGCAATGACAGGTAAATGTCACCTGCAATGACAGGTAAATGTCACCTGCAATGACAGGTAAATGTCACCTGCAATGACAGGTAAATGTCACCTGCAATGACAGGTAAATGTCACCTGCAATGACAGGTAAATGTCACCTGCAATGACAGGTAAATGTCACCTGCAATGACAGGTAAATGTCACCTGCAATGACAGGTAAATGTCACCTGCAATGACAGGTAAATGTCACCTGCAATGACAGGTAAATGTCACCTGCAATGACAGGTAAATGTCACCTGCAATGACAGGTAAATGTCACCTGCAATGACAGGTAAATGTCACCTGCAATGACAGGTAAATGTCACCTGCAATGACAGGTAAATGTCACCTGCAATGACAGGTAAATGTCACCTGCAATGACAGGTAAATGTCACCTGCAATGACAGGTAAATGTCACCTGCAATGACAGGTAAATGTCACCTGCAATGACAGGTAAATGTCACCTGCAATGACAGGTAAATGTCACCTGCAATGACAGGTAAATGTCACCTGCAATGACAGGTAAATGTCACCTGCAATGACAGGTAAATGTCACCTGCAATGACAGGTAAATGTCACCTGCAATGACAGGTAAATGTCACCTGCAATGACAGGTAAATGTCACCTGCAATGACAGGTAAATGTCACCTGCAATGACAGGTAAATGTCACCTGCAATGACAGGTAAATGTCACCTGCAATGACAGGTAAATGTCACCTGCAATGACAGGTAAATGTCACCTGCAATGACAGGTAAATGTCACCTGCAATGACAGGTAAATGTCACCTGCAATGACAGGTAAATGTCACCTGCAATGACAGGTAAATGTCACCTGCAATGACAGGTAAATGTCACCTGCAATGACAGGTAAATGTCACCTGCAATGGCAGGGAAATGTCACCCTGAGCTGGCAGGTAAATGTCACCTTCACAAGCCAGGCTGGGTGGGATGGTGGGAGGTGCCACAGCAAGGGTGGCACTGGATGGGCTTTAAGGTCTCTCCCAGCCCAAACCAGTCTGGGATTCTATATTCCTATATGTCTATAAATTTTATATTTAAAAAATATAAATATATCTATTTTTAGATATTTTATATACATTTGATATATATAAAATATATTTATATATTTTAGATACTTTATATATATTTTATAAATATAATATATAAAATATATTTTAATATTTTTATATATTTTATATATATTTTCTTATAATTTCTATATATAAATATAAAATTTCTTATATATACATTTTTCAATTCATTATTATTTATTATTTCAGTACTTATGTCTATTTTATGACATTTATTTATATTTATATTATTTATAGTTTCTATATTTATACATTTTATATATAAATATATAAAATATTTTATATATTTATATATAAAATATATTTTATCTTTTTATTTTATATATTTTATATACATTTTAATTTTTATTATATGTGTTTTACATATTTATTTATTTTTATATATTTTACATATTTATGTAGTTTATATGTTTTTATATCTTTTACATATTTATGTATTTTATATGTTTTTATATATTTTACATATTTATGTATTTTATATGTTTTTATATATTTTACATATTTATATATTTATATCTATATTTAATATATTTTATATATTTATATATGTATATATTTATTTATATATAAAATATAAAATAAATTTTATCTATTTCATATATTTATTTCATATATTTATTTCATATATTTATTTCATATATTTATATATTTATATTTATTTCATATATTTATTTCATATATTTATTTCATATATTTATATATTTATATTTATTATATTAATTTAACTAATTATTTTTTACTAATAATAAAAATAAGCTGCTCTGGGCACCCTGTGCCAGGGCCTGCCCACCCTCCCAGGGAACAATTCCTTCCCAGGATCCCACCCATCCCTGCCCTCTGGCACTGGGAAACCATTAATTTCCAGTTTAATTCCCAGTAGGGCTCAGCCGAGCTCAGTAAATCAGAGAAAATTTCTTTATGAAAGATCTCTCAATAATCCCAATAATATCAACAATGCCAAGATTGGTCTCAGATTAGAGCAGCTGCCGCAGTATTTGTGCAGATGTTGGCAGGAGCGGCTCTGCAGGTGTAACTTCTCCTCTCAGAGCACATCCGAGACAACGTCTGCTACGGGATCCGCGTGTCCGCGCTCTACCAGGGCAGGGCTGGCCAGGCAGCCTCCGTCAGGGCCAACTCCGCAGCACAAGGTCAGCCCCAGAACACCCTCCCAGCTGGTTTTAAAACAGTTTAAACTCAGCTCCAACAGCAATCCTGTGCCTTGCAGCCCCATCAGCCGGGCCCCAGATGTTCACAACCCCCTGGGCCAGCGGTGTCCTGGTGTCCTGGGAGGAGATCCCAGCTCCCCAGCAGAGGGGCTGCATCACTGCCTACCACATCTACCTGCACAGGAGCACCAGGCAGGGCCAGCCCGAGGTCCATGGTGGGTTCCTGGGGCTGGAAGTGCTCCTCCTGCCCCCCTTTCATAACTGAAGGTCTCCAGGAATTCATCCTGGCTTCTTCTCCCTCTTTTCTTCTTCTTTCTCTTTCTTCTTGCTCTTCCTCATCTTCTCTTCTTCCTCCTCCTCTTTTCTTCTTCTTCTTCGTCTTCTTCTTCGTCTTCTTCTTCCTCCTCCTCCTCTTTTCCTCTTCTTTTTCTTCTTGCTCTTAATCCCACCCATTTCTTCCTCCTCCTCTTTTCTTTTTCTTCTTGATCTTTCTTCTTGCTCTTCCTCATCTTCTCTTCCTCCTCCTTTTTTTCTTCTTTTCTTCTTCTTCCTATTCTTCATCTTATTCATCTTTCTCCTCCTCCTTTTTTATCTTCCTTTTCTTTTTCCTTATTCCTCTTCCTCCTCTTCTTTTTCCTCCACTTTTTTCCTCTTATTCTTTATCCTCCTCTTCTTTTTCCTCCACTTTTTTCCCTCTTATTCTTCTTCCTTTTCTTTTTCCTTATTCCTCTTCCTCCTCTTCTTTTTCCTCCACTTTTTTCCTCTTCTTCCTTTTCTTTTTCCTTATTCCTCCTCCTTCCCTGCTCCCCTCCTTCCCTTTATCCAGAGCCCAGCTGAAGGCAGCAAAGCCCCGTGCCAGGCTCTCCATCCCCATCCCGGTTTTCCTCCAGCCGTTCCCGCTGGGAAGGTTCCTCGCTCCCTGCACATCCCGGCGCTGCAGCCCGGGGAGCACCACGAGCTCTGGATGACAGCGGCGACAGCGGCCGGGGAGGGGCCCCGGGGCAACAGCGACAGCGTCTGCCTGGAGGGTAAGGAACCCGTGCCAGGCTGCTCCTTGCCCTTGGATCCTCCTTTCCACACTCTGGGAATGCTTTTCCTGCTCCTCTGAAATCCCTGGAGCTCCCCAAGCCTTCTGATCTCTTGGTCGCTGAAGATTTGTTGTTTCAGACGTGGCATCTCTTCGGCTTTGAGCTCCCAGAGATGTCTCCTTGGAGTTGAAGGGTGGTTTATTCATGGAGCACACAAAGATTTGGGGTTTTTTTTCATCTTTTTGATGCCTGCTCTGCATTTCAGGTGCTGGGGACTGGCTGACTCTGGTGCTCGTCTGCAGCTTCCTCATCCTCTCAGCCTGTGTTTGTTCTGTGCCTCCAGCCAGGAAAGTGTGAGTGGATCCATCGGCTGTGTCCCAATAAAACCGGGCTGCTTGTTGGGAGGGATTAAATCCCAGAATGGTTTGGGTTGAAAGAGATCTTAAATCCCACCCAGAGCCACTCCTGCCATGGCAGGGACACCTCCCACTGTCCCAGGCTGCTCCAAACCCATCCAGCCTGGCCCTGGGCACTGCCAGGGAGGGATCCAGGGGCAGCCCCAGCTGGGCCAGTGCATTTTAAAAACCTTTTCTCCCTTCTAATCTAAATCAACCCTCTTTTAGTTTAAAGCCATTTTCCCTTGTCCTACAGGATGGTTGTGCCCCCTCATGATTGTGGAACAGTGAGGGTTCTCCAAAATGAAGCTTTCAGAGTACATGAACGATAATAAAATCAGGCTCTGACCTTAAAATACACCTGCAGTCCATGGATATTGTGAATTTTTAACCAGGTCTTAAAACCAAGCAGAAGGGCGGCAATCCTTGGGAATTAACCCTACCCAGCCAAGAGCTCTGCAGGTCCCTCTGAGGGCAGATCCACGATCACACCTGGCTTTAATTCCACACCCAAGGAGCACCAAGGTGCTGCAGGTCTCACCATTGACGTTTTTAATTGCATTTATCCCCCGCTGCAGATTCCAGTGGCTCCTGTCCCTCCTCCTGCCGCAGTGGCACAGCAAAGCCATTCCCGACCCTGCCAACGCCACGTGGGCCAAGAGCTTAACAGCTACCAAGGTAAATTAGAGAATTTTTTTCATTCTAATCCCAAAACCTTCATAAAAAACAACAACAACAAAAAAAAGCAATTGGAGCCATGGCAGGCAGTAATCTCCTAAAGCAGCAAATCCAGCAATCTCTGGCAGCAGATAATCTCCGCTGGAGGAGACTGGAGGATGTGCTGGGCAAATTAACCACCACAAGAACGCAGAGATCTTTTCTTTTTATCCGGATGAGGGGCTGTGGAGTCCCGGGAGCTCCGTGCCGGGATTCATCCCGTGTTCCCCCGCAGGCGGAGCTGAGCGCTCCCTCCAGCCCCTTCCTGCCCAGCGGCTTCCAAGAGCCCGAAACGACCCCGGTGGAGGAGAGCTGGGCTGAGCCCCCCGAGCCTGGGGACAAGCTGCTGGTGGGCAGCGCTGGCAGCAGGGGACACTGGCCACGGGAGCTGCAGCTCTACCAGAAGCTGCTGCTGGAGCCCGAGTACATCTCCAGCCCGGGCCCCTCCGCCCGGAGCCCCGAGCCCGAGCCCGAGCCCATTCCCCTCTTCCCAGCCGCGTTCCTGCCTCCCGGGCCCTGCTGCCAAGGGAATCTGAGCCTGGATCGAGTGAAACTCAGCGGCAGCTCCTTCCCGAGGTAGGCAGGTGGCGATGTGAGCCCGGCAGGAATTTGGGCACTATGGGTGACTCTGGTGCTCGTCTGCGGCTTCCTCATCCTCTCAGCCAGGAAAGTGTGAGTGGATCCATCGGCTGTGTCCCGATAAAATCGGGGTGTTTGTTGAGAGGGATTAAACCCCAGAATGGTTTGGGTTGAAAGAGATCTTAAATCCCCCCCAGAGCCACTCCTGCCATGGCAGGGACACATCCCACTGTCCTAGGCTGCTCCCAGTGAGCCCAGCCTGAATTTTGTCACTTTGCAGAGTATTTTGGTGTTTCAATGTGATCTCAGCCTCGATTTTGGCACTTTGCAGAATATTTCAGTGTGTTTTGATATGAGCCCAGCCAGGACTTTGGCACTTTACAAAATATTTCAATGTTTCAGCACAGCCAGTCCAGTCCCATGTGACACCTCCAAGTGACAAAACCCTTCCCAGTCACACCTCACCACAGCTGCTCCTCTGCAGCCTGGAATCAGAGGTACAGCTGGGGATGCCAGAGATGGATTTGGGGATTTGGGGAGCCCTTGCTGCAGCCTGGGCTGCCTCAAGCCCTGTCCCACGAGTGCTTCAGCCTGGCTGGATCAGAGCTGGAAATAATCATTTCCTCCTGAAAGAACAAGGAACAGCAAAAGGGAGGGATGGAAAGGCAAAAGGGAAGGATGGAAAGGCAAAAGGGAGGGATGGAATGGCAAAAGGGAGGGATGGAACAGCTCAGCACCTCTTGTTCCTCCCCTGGCACCAAGTCACAGAGCCCCCAGTGACACCAGACCCACGAGGGACACAGCACCTTCCTTGCCTCAGTTCAGGGCAGGAAAATTCCTGACCAGAACTAAAAGCAGCAGGCAGCATCTGTACTCAGCCAAATGGATTGTCAAGAGGAATTTAAGTGATTTATTGGAGTGCTCTAATTACAGGCTGGAAGGGTGTTACACATTTAATGACTTTGTTTACCAGATGTGTGTATATAAATAAAATGTTGGAAATCTGAACTTGGCTTCCTGTTGTTTTCTCTGGTCAAGCTCCAGCTTCACACAGAACAATTAAAAATTAAAAATAAAGCTGAAATGTTGCAGTTAGAGATGGAATAGTCCAGGTATGAACTTACCTGGAGCATCCTCTGCCTCCCCAGGATGCTGATGCCACCATTCAAGTGCAGATTTGGGTATTGCCAAACACCAGCTCTGCCATTTCACTTTGGGCTTCTGAGGTCTGGTCCCACCTGTGTCACCTGGCTGCGTGTCATCAAAGGAAAACATCTCCCTCAGAACTGGGTCACACATCCAGAAAACCAGAACCTGCTGCCTGCTCTCCACACCCTGCCTGGGAACCACCCTGGCAAAAGGATTCTGCCTGAGCCCCACAACTCAGCTCTGCAAATCAAATTGAACTAGAAAGGCAGATTAGATGCCAAAAAAGGGGTTTATTTATAAAGCATTATTTTACCAATCATCTTTTTCTGCATGTTGATTTTTGATCTCCATGTAAGGATAAGGGAATATTTGAATTCATTTTCTCCTTGCTCTGCAAATCTCCAGATCAATCAAAATGTGGGGTTTCATGTCCAGTCTTTCCAAGAGACAAGGAGCAGACCTTTTTAACTCCAGCCTGGAAGTCCCCCAGTAGTGGCCCTGAGCATCCCAGGAAGTGTTTCCCCCTCAGGACACCCTTTCCAGCAGGAATGTCAGCTCTGGCTTTCCTGAGAACACCCCAAGCTGAGGCAGAGCAGCCAGCAGTGCTCAGGGCAGGGAGTTTGGTCCTTGGAATGACTCTGGAAAAGCAGCAGGGTGGCACAGCTGGAAGAGGCAGAGCTCCAATAAACCCATCCCAGTGCGCAGAGCTGGCTCAGGTGAGCCTGGGCTCAGCTCCTCCAACTGATTCCTGACATTCCAGGAGAATCCACATCCTTTCCCATACAGTTAATTCCTGCATGGATCAATCAGTCCCCCCCTGCTCCCTCCCAGATCAACTTCCCTGCTCAAACCTTGTCCTTGGTCATTCCAAAGCCAATTTGCTCCGTGCTTCCAACTTTTCCTGCTCTCTTTTCCAAAGGATCACAATTAAAAAGTTGTACTCCCCTAGATTTGGTGACAGCAGGAGCAAGAGGACAGAAGTGTTAGCAAAAGCAAGTTCATTAATCATAAATAAACTACTTGGGAGATGTTTTTCCAAGGCAAAATCCATCCTGGGAATGGGAATGCAAGCTGGACTTCCTGGGACAGACCTTAGATGAGCCACTAGGAACCCAAGTGGTTTCATTTCCATGTGTTTTCAGGACATTTTTTTTTTTTAAAGAGCATGAAAATAAACCTTTATTTCAGTTAACACCCACCAATATTAAAGAGAAATGTTCACAGTTTTAGTTCTTGACACAAATGGACTGAAAGAGGCAAATTTACATCTGGCAGAACAGCAGAAGGACCAATTCTGTTACAAGCCGTGTTGAAAATCACTCTGGGCCATTTGGGAACGGTCTAGAGCAGGGAAAGGGAAAATCCAGCTGGCAAAATCACCTGGAACAGCCAATAGAGTTTGGATCAGGGAAGGTTTGTGCTCCAGGGAAAGCTCTGCTCCACGTTTCTGTTTGCTGTGCTATCCAGGGTGTCCCTAGGGCTGGAAGTGCAGCACATCCCACCAAACAACAGGAGAGGGAAAGGAACAACTCTGTTCCTACACCAGCCCCACACTGAGAGCAGCCAGGAGAGGTGAAGCAGGAGATTTTCCCACCCTCTGATGGAAAATTGGCCTCCTCCTCCCACCTGGGGCTGGAAATGCAGGCCAGGGAACTGATCTGTGATACTCACAGTGGGTCACGACACGAGCTCTCGTGGAAAACAGCTCAGGAAAAGCAAAGGCAGCTGCTGACACCACAGCTGAGCAGGCTGGGATTCCATATTCCAAGCTCTCCAACACTTTTTGACTGTCCTGCACAGTTTTTATAAAAATAGGGCATTACCTTTCGTTTTCTACCTACCTAAGAAACTACAAATACCTTCTAATCTGGCCAAAGAGGAAAACATGAAATAAAATGAGAGATTTGTTCCTAGTCTCCTAACAAATGCTGGATAAAACCCCTAAGAAATCCTCTTTATTAGTCATTCACTCAACTCGTTTTGTGTATTGAAGGGATGGATACATGGGGATGAAATTGAACCTATGGTGGATTTCCATGGGAGAGAAGGAATTTCTTAAAATCATTCTCTGGAAAAACATTCCTTGGTGCTGTCCCCAGCAGATCCTGAGCCCGAGCTGCATCTGGATGGAGAGGTGAAGTGTTGAGGTTTTGGGTTGAATTTTTGGTGTCTCAGGCACAGATGGTCATCGTCCCAGTCTGAAGCCATGAGCCACAATTCCCTCCTGAGCCAGCCCTGCTCCTCCCTGGGAATGCAGCCTGGGAATGCCTCAGGTACTGCTGTGCCTGTGTGGCAATCCCACATCCCAGCTGGAATCCGTGTGGGCTTCCAGAGCCACAGCTGCCACCTTCCTCCCACTCCCAGCTCCAACAATTACCCCAAACTCAAGGTTTTGGTACCCCCCAACCCCAGCTCCAACAGCAGGAATTATCCCCAGCTTGGGGTATCCCAGTTCCAAGGACAGGAATTGCCCCAAACTCAGGGTTATCCTCTCAAACAAAAAGCAAAGGTAATTTAAAAACTTTTTTTTTTCCTTTTTTTTTTTGCCAACAAAGCATCTTGTTCTGTTGAAGGGAAGGAGGAAGGAATAAAAGGTCCAAAGGGGGAGTGAAAGGTGGGGTACAGGAATTTTAAAAAAATCTGGTTTTCAGACCAGTTACCCACTGCTGGATCCATACACAGGTATTGAATCATAAACCAACGTGCTTTGAATCTTGATTTCAAGTATCTGCTTTCAATTTTCTAGAAAGATTTTGTGTAAACAGAACTACCCAACAGAGATGAAAAAAAATGACTGGTTTTCCATGTTGGAAATGAAGCATTAAAACTTGTTTTAAAGTACTCCAGGAGTTCATTCCACACAGCACTAACAGTCTGCCAAATTAATATTCCAGAGATTCCATGGGCTGAGAAAAACCTGCCAAAGAGGAATTAAGGAAACTGAAGTAGTGTGCAATAATTAAAACCTAATTTGGATTTTTGGGGGGAGGTGGGGGGGGGGGGAAGTCTAAAATCCTGAATTTAAAAAAAATGAACACAAATGAAGGGAAAGCTTTTAACTGGTACACACTGTTCACACCTATATTTCAAGTTTGGAAACGCATATTTTCAAGCAGCAATACAAAAAAGTATCCATGAAGAATGCATAATCTCTGAAAAAATTATGAAAACATCCCTGCTACCATTACATTTCTAAATACAAAACTTGACTACCATATTGTTGCTTCTGTGTAGCGAGAGAAGTTCATTTTCAAAACAGATAAAATTCAGTCTTTAGGTGTGAATGGTATGAATGACAGTCTTTTTTTTTTTGTTTTGTTTTGTTTTTTTTTCAATTTCTTAGTTGTTTTAGGATCCTTAAGCATGCAAGCCTCGGAGAGGAAGGCCCGACCAGGGCAGGGTTGGCTTTATGACATCCAGTTTAGGACAGAGCTGGGAAAGCCTCTGGGTCATCTACGTCAGGAGCAGAAGCACTTGACTGCAAGAGAAACATCACAGAGTTATTGCCTTGAGACAGAGCTGGCAGCACTTTGGGGATGGAGAATTACTACAAAAACAACCCTTTTTTTTATTTATTCCAAATATTACAAAGCCTCCCATAATTGTTTTTGTTTTTAAACCAAGCTGTCTGGAGAGGAACTGTAGGCAAATTGATGTTTGCACATTGTTATTGCACAATTCTCTTTTTTAAAGAGATCTCAGAATGGCCTGGGTTGGATGGGACCTTAAAGAACATGAAATTCCAACCTCCTGCCATGGGCAGATCCTTCCCTGTGGACCAATCCTTACTGAGGGACACAAGTGAAATGTTACAGAAAAGGCCCTGTCTGGAGCACAAATTAAGTTTTTCAT